CTGTCGTAGACCGAAGGTCATCGCACGACTTTTGGGTGTGGAATTTTTACATGCAATTTTTATCTTGTCAGTCTTAAGATATAGTATATATAATTATAGCGTCAAAAGGATAGTTCCGCGTTTAAAGCTTTATTAGTGAAATTGTCAAGGTGTGTAAGCTTGTGAAGTTATTTTAAACAGTTTTGACTTTTTTGGATTTTTTTTTTTAAGTTTTAAGTGAATGAGTTTTTAGTTTTTAAAATATACACTTTTAATATTTTAAATAAAATAATTTAGGATTTCATGTAATTAAGGCGGTCGATATATATATATATAACATATGTTTTTAAATTATTTATATATTTATCTTGACTCTTTACAGGAAAGCATGTTTTGGAACTTTTTAGATAGAGCATTTTGTAAACATCTTTAGAGCCCAAAGGTTCATATTATTTGTAAATTTCTCTTGCAATAAAAAAATGTATTCACCAAAAACGTCTTTATTTTAAAGAAACCCCTTTTGTGATTGATTGCTGGGTAATTTGTATAAGATATTTTTTTCTTATTTCTGTTGCTGTCATTGATTCATGAACAGCAAACATACGAGGTGTGTTAAGAAAATATCGGGAATTTTCGTTTTTTGAAACTAATATTTATTTATTCGTCTACATTAATGTTGTCGCCTTCAAAATAGTCCCCATTGGATATTATGCATATGTGCCAGCTCTTCTTCCAATACTCGAAACACTTCTAAAACTCGATCTTTGGGATAGCCTTTAGTTCTTTCAGCGATGCGCTTTTAATGTCATCTATGCTTGAAAAACGACGGCCCCTTAAGGTTCTCTTTATTTTAGGGAATAGGAAAAAGTCAGACAGAGGCATGTCTGGCGAATATGAATGCTGGGGCATCATTACGGTATTGTTTTTGGCCAAAAATGTTGTTCAAAATTTAACAATTTTAGAACAAATTTTGCTGCCACGCGTTTCATACCCAAAACATTCGAAAAAATTTCATGGGATGAGCCAATCGACCAACATCATCAGCGACTTCTCTGATGGTTTATAACCATTTCTTCCACTTTTTCCATGTTTTTATCGGTTGTTAATGTGCTTGTGCGTTCGGGGCGTTCGTCATCTTCAACGTCTTCACGGCCATCTTGGAAACTCTTATACCACTTGTAAACTCTTGTTTTACTTATAGCAGACTCACTATAGGCCTTTGTTAACATTTCACAGAATTTATTTCATTTTTTAAGCAAAATTGGATACAAATTCTTTGATCCATTTCTTTTAACGAACGAAAAATCCCCGAGCTCATAAAACACGCCTAACCTTAGCGGCTGCCACAGACAAAGTAAACAATGAAAACAGCTAAACTTTTTATCATACTTCCGGGGCATGTATACCAACAAAATTTTATGACAACCGGACCCTCCGAACCCGCGAAATTTAACAATTCCCGTTATTTTCTGAACACACCTCATAGAGTAGTAGTAGTATTTTTATACAAAATGTCATAAAGATTGGTAAAGGCGTTTTAGAATTTTTTTACTTATGCGTTAATTTTGACGCGCAGTGTAGGTTTAAAAACAAGAAAATTGTTAACTATCCATCACAACTTGACTAAATTTAAAAAAAATGCAGATAAAAGGGATCATTTAGTGTAGGTAGTCGATTTTTTTAAAAGCCTTACATGGAATTTTGTTAAAATTATTTTTACGAACATTTTATCCGACAAGCTGATTAATTAATCCCTCGATAAAATCATTTCATAAAGTGAAAAATTCCAGAGTCTATAAAGTCTTTGAACTAACTTTCATGAAGCTTTACCAATGGAACTAATACCGTACAAAATTCTTTTGAAAAGTTAATCAAAAAGTGGAAACAAATTTTATTAGAAATAAATCGATAAAAATAGAAATCCCCAATTAAAAAAAGGATTTATTTTATCGATTTTGCTACTTGCGCAAATCCTCAAATGATTCAACTAAAGATAAGATATTTGACTCCGTTTATGCGGAAATGATTATATCCCGGTTTTGTCCAGGTATCTTCTGAACACATCTTTGATATAAACCAACACTTTTGGCAATAAAGCGACCCCATTGTATGCTGTATAAACTTGTACAGGTCAATGAAGTTCTTGAAGTTTAAAATTTCAGATAAGGCGCCTCTAAAGCTTATTGGGTTAATGCAATATTTTAAATAAATTTTATTAAAATCGCGATATCTCATATGAGATATCGCGATTTTAATAAAATTTTATTATTTGGGTCGTTTTCAAAAAACACCCGCTTTCCGCTGTCCGTAAGTTTGAATTCCAGTAACTTTGTTAAAAATTATCGGATCTTATTGATTTAACAACCAAGTGAAAGCCTAACAAGCCCTTAGTAAACTCTTTCAGAGAATGTTTGTTTAGTTATTTCAGAATAATTTTTTTTTAATTTTAAAACTTGTGAAACACACATTTTCGAATGTCCCATTAGCGTTTTATAAAACTTACATATATGTATACATGTTTTTTTTTAAATTTTGAATAACCAGAACTTTGTGTTGCTTTATAGCAATCCATAACATCCTTAGTTAATACAGTAAACAATTTATATATAAAATAATTAATTTTAATATACTTTTTTTAAATTTGACTCATGCCCCAGACATTTTTTCCGTTGCGTTACGTCCGTCGCGTTACCGATAGAATATTAAAAAAAACATATATATGGCAACTTTTTTTGCACTCACGTGTTCAAGAAATGATGTTCGGACGTACACATTACCCAGCTGAATTTATTTATTCAATCAGGAAGAAGATATCGGTTGAAGCAGGTGCGGGTAACGCGAATGTAATAATTGCTTGTCCGCTAAGTTACTCAAAAAAATAATAAAAATAAGGTAAGAAAAAATACTATTTTTCATGTTTATGTTTATTTTAGGGCACCAAAGCTCATTGAGAGTAATTAATGACTGTATACATTATAATGTCTTATCATTATTTTTTAAATATGGTTTTACAAAACTTTGTCCACTGCGTTACTTTGTCCACTACGTTACCTTATGGTAACGCAATGGAATTTAGGGTAAAGCAATAGAATTTTTCGACAACAAAGTGGATATTTACCGTCGCTTTTATTAAAAGTAGTTTATGATAAACCAATTTAAAATTATTTGTGATTACAACTCATGATATAGATTACATCCAAGGGAAAATTCCACGCAATATACAAGTACTAAAAGGGACCTTCACCAGCTTATAGTCAAAGAAAAAGGGTGTCTACAATTTAGAAATCTAAGTTTTTATTCTGCAAGTGAGCACCACTACAAGGGATTTTGTTTATGCATTACTCTTAAATCGTACCACCCTTTATAGTTTCTTTTTTACGTTATCTGATTAAGTGCTTTGTGTACCCCAGTCCGTTGTGATACCAATGTCTATTTCGATACTTTTTTTTGTTAAAATAATACTTAAAATGATTTTTATACACTATCACTTGGTAATAGGTATTTATAAATTAGAGTTTAACTCACTAATACAGTGACTAAAAGAAAATATTAATGGTATTGTTTTTTTAAAAAAGAATCGGAATGGTTTCTTTTAAAAAGTAACTTAACATACATATTTAAAAAAAGCATAAAATCTTTAATAAAATATAAAATAAAAAATTGGAGTCAAAAGTTTGTGAACTAAGTAAGTACATTTTATTTCAAATTATTTTTATAACAACTTTTTTATTGAATTAAATTTTGGATTTCAAATTGGTAACGCAGTGGAGATATATAAAGCTAGCTAAACACATTTTTATAAAAAAAAAAAGTAAAAAAATAAAAAAGTGCACTGCCTGTCTTAAATGTAAGTAAATGACCCATTTCTATCTACTTTTTAAAAGTGTTGGAAGTTCACAAAATTAAAAAAGAGTTTAAAATACCTTAAGCGATGTCATTGTATGGTCCTTTTGTAGTGTGCAGAAACTTTTTCGTAGTTTAACTTTTCTACACGTTTCGTGAAAATATGTATGAAATTAATCGTTTACATTTTACATTACGAGTAGGAATATTAGATTAAATAAATAGTACACTACATATTTTGCACTAATAATTTTTGGCATGCTAAATTTGAAAATTGCAATATTTTTTATGGTCTTTGAGATATGATTTTTATTTTTTTCAAGCTCCCCCATATTTAAAGTCTCAAAATTAAAAAAAATATTAGTAAATAACTACTCACCACAGTACTGAAATTTTGACTTAAACTATACGTGCATTTACCACAACTTCGCCGCTTGCATTGTTTTCAAGATGTCGTGCAAAGGGCGGGGCTCTGTAGGTAATTTTTTACCAACACTTGAGTTAAAACGAGGACTTGACGTTTAAACTTTAATATTTCGCAGGAATTTTGAATTTTAACATTGGACACAGAAGTGACGGGTAAAAGTGAGTACAAAGATTATCATTTTTTTAAAATTGCTATTATTCGAATCTATGATAAAATATGAAAAATGCATTATTTAATGTTTTATAGTTTGTGGTGAAATTGAAAAATTTAAGAAAAATTGAATATATTTTAAATTAAAACCACTCAAATATTTGATTCAGGAATTGAGACACGCCAAGGTACTGATGTTTTGAATATTTATTGTTTAGCTACAAAGGTGCTTTGGAAAAAATACATTAAAATTGGGTGGATCTTTTGTAATATACTAAAATATTTACAAAAAATATTAAAATTTCTACTCTATTGACTGATGACATCAAGTTGTCCAACTTTTGTAGAATCACCCATATGTCATTTCGAGCATTTATCGAATTAAAGCGATGTTTCTGGTTCAGTGTTGCCAGAGTGAAAAAATCGAAAAATAAAAAAACAATAAAACCGTTGTTGAAAATAAAATTTGCATTTTAATCATCAAAATGCAAAATTGCTAGTTTTGTTGGAAGTACTACAGAGAACGTTAACATAAGCAACTAACTTTACATAACGATTTGGAATGAATATCTCCTTTAATTGCAGAGCTTACACCACTAACCTTTAACAGATGCAACATTATCCTTTTGCTCCATTACCATTTTCCTTCTCTGTCTGCGTTTATCAAGTTCCCGCTCGACGCCGCTCCATTCCAACTCTGACGCAATGCAACTTCCTTTGCGGCTCTCTCCAGGAGTTACCGGTTCCTGAACGGTGTAATCGCCGTTCTCCTCCACGTAGCATCGGAAACCATTTTTTAGGCTCCTGAATTTGTAAGAAAAGTTTATGTATGAATGAATTTCTTTCTCGTTTATCGATTAATGCTTAAGCTAGACAAAAGTTAAAGAAGAGCCCATAGTTAAATCCATATGAAACACGTAAATATAAAACTACCACATAACCCAAGTAGCAGGAATTCAATTATGGTAAAATTAACGTTATGTTAGTTAAATTTAACTTTTTGGTTAAAAAGAAGGTAATATTTGGTAGTTTTACTATCAATTGATATATTGATAGTAATAAAGCAAAAACCAATGGGAAGTTTTTTTTCTGATGAAGTAGTACATAATACTTTCATATTTTAAATGGGCTTTGAAAAAACATAAGAAATACTTAAAGAAAAGAAAATTAAAACAAAATATTTTGTTTGCCTAGCTTTCGTTTGAAATTGATTTAGAATAAACTGCTCGTCATAAAAATCGACGCACCTAGTTTTTTGGAAAATATTTGAAAGTCGTTATTGAAAAATTACTGAATGGATTTTGAAAATCTTTGGAAATTTTAAATAACTGATTCTTTGACTCTTATGTCTAATTTTGGGAATACGATATTTTGCACATAGCACAGGGTGTTAAACGAAGAGATGTATTTTTCCGAAATTTCAAGTTATTCCCATTCATGAGGCAGTTGAGTTTGATAGTCGTAATACCCCTCCCTAATATAAGTAAGGTAATCCCTCGGAACGTTTTCGAGATTTTGTGAATATCGCGGCTTACTACGATTATATGCCAATTTATCGAAAATTGTCGTTATTTCCCAGTTTAGTCCAAAAAATGAGCAATAGTGGATTCTTTGACTTACGTCTAATTTTGAGAATACGATATTGTGCACATAGCATTCTACTACAGGGTGTTAAAAAAAGAGATGTTTTTTTTTCAAAAATTTCAAATCCCCATTCACAGGACAGTTGAACTTACCCCTTCCTAATAACAGTTAGGTTATTCCTCGGGACGTTTTCGAGATTTTGTGGATATCTTGGCTAACTACGATTATATGGCAATTTTTCGAAAATTCACGTTATTCTTCATTTTAGTCCAAAAAATGAGCAATAGTTGATTCTTTGACTCTTATGTCTAATTTTGGAAATACGATATTGTGCACATAGCAGGGTGTTAAAAAAAGAGATGTTTTTTTTCCAAAATTCCAAATTCCCATTCACAGGGCAGTTGAGCTTGATAGTCCTAATACCCCTTCCTAATAACAGTTAGGTTAGATTTTGGCTAACTACGATTAAATAGCAATTTTTCGAAAATTGTCGTTATTCTCCACTTAATTCCCAAAAATGAGCAAACTACGAAAGGTATCGATTAGTTATCAACATATCGTTTCCCCAATTTGCATGTTCTTGTGCCCATCTTCTTTTAGCAGAAAAAGAGGGCAGGCTTCGTCTTGTGTGGTAGGCAAACTTACATCCGTCATTTTATTTTTTTAAATGTGTTTTGCTGTTTGAAAAATGTTTTCATATTCGACGACAAAAATGACAAGAATATGAAGGAAGGAAACTCAAAACCAGATATGCGCCATATTTTTTAAACTTTCATAGTCAACCGTTTGTAGAAAATTGCATGAATATAGCCTGCATAAGTTTACGAGAATAATTTTGTTTGGTTTGCGTTTTTATTTTGAATTTAACCGAAAAAAATTGGTTTTGTGTGAAACATTTGACTTTTAATGAATCACGCAACGTATACGTATACGTATACGTATACGTATACATAAACTGGAAGCACGTGACCTACCTTAAAACGCTGTGTTGATACCTTCCGTAGTTTGCTTATTTTTGGGACAAGTGAAGAATATGCCATAGGTATGCCATATAATTGTAGTTATCCAAGATATCCACAAAATCTCGAAAATGTCCCGAGGGATTACCTGTTATTAGAAAGGGGTATTATGACCATCAAGCTCAACTGCCTTGTGAATGGTGATTTGGATTTTTGGAAAAAAACATCTCTTTTTTTAACACCCTGTAGTATCATGCTATGTGCACAATATTGTATTGTATTTTCGAAAAATTGCCGTACAATCCTGGTTAGCCAAGATATCCATAAAATCTCGAAAATGCCCTGTGAATGGGGATTTGGAATTTTGGAAAAAACATCTCTTTTTTTAACACTCTGTAGTAGAATGCTATGTGCACAATATCATATTCTCAAAATTGGACGTTAGTCAAAGAATCTATTGCTCATTTTTTGGACTAAACTGGGAAATAACGACAATTTTCGATAAATTGGCATATAATCGTAGTAAGCCGCGATATTCACAAAATCTCGAAAACGTTTCGTATCAAACTCAACTGCCTCATAAATGGTAATAACTTGAAATTTCGGAAAAAATACATCTCTTCGTTTAACACCCTGTAGTATAATGCTATGTGCAAAATATCGTATTCCCAAAATTAGACAGATTGAGTCAAAGAATCAGCTATTCATAGTTTCCAAACATTTTCAAAATCGATTCATTAATTTTCCAATAACGAGCTTTCAAATATTTTCCAAAAAAACTATGTGTGTCGATTTTTATGACGAGCAGTTTATTACCAAAATTCTGTTATTATTGTTATTTGGATTCCTTATACCTATTTAACTAGTGTGCGAAGTGCAAACTATCCGGAAAAAGATGCCATCACTGGTTTTTAATGGTGTGTTATTTTTGCGTTCATTTATGTAGGTATGTGTTAAGTTTTTTGTTTAGGAAATTGATTAATAAAGCAACATTTCTTTTCAAAATTCTCTGCATTTAAGTTCCCAATTTCCAACAAATACTTTTGTTACTGGGTCTACAAAAAAGTTTGTAAAAAGGTCCTTTTTTAAAATTACAAGAATTATGGTTGAATTATTGATATAGGACCTAATATTTGGTTAAATTTAAAATATTTAAATTAACAAATATTTTTTTACTGTTTAATGACACATGATGTCTACAAGAAGTCTGAACTTCATTCATACAAAAATCTTCCTAAGATAAGAGGGCGCTGGTGTTTCGTTTATTGTTACGCTAACAAACGCTACCAAAACAGCAGACGTCAGTACGCATAGACAATCAGCGCCGCTGGTGGTGAAACAACAAGAACTAATTTGTGAAATTCTCCCCTATTATAAACTTATAAGTTCGCGCCGCTGGTGGTGAAAAAACAAGAACTAATTTGTGAAATTCTCCCCTATTATAAACTTATAAGTTCGGACTCCTTGTGTAGGCCATGACAGGTCAAATCATAAGATATTTATTTACCTTACAGGAGGTGACGTTGTTTGGTCCGGCTTGGCAAGTTCGGTGTCGTCGCCGCCCTCTACGTATCGATTCTTATTCCGCCTCATGAACCACCTGGAATCAGGCGTTGGGCTCGTAGAGAGCCTTTCGGTCGGCGGTGGTCGGGTCGGGCTCTGAAATCAAACTTTCATTGCTCTCATGGCCCCCTTACTTTTTACCAGTCGTACAAAGTTAATTTCCTATGGAGTAAAAAGAACTAAGCGATTTGTTCTCGAATAACTTTATTTCAAAATTTGACCTCCGATATCATCTCAATGGATGATTTTACGAAAAAAACATAAAATAGCTTTTTTGTGGAGCGTAAAATTTCCTACAAAAGTATGTCTTATATACTGTTGCATATCTATTTATTAGCGAGTTATGAATATTTTTCTTACGACATTAAAACATTTAAGAAGGGTTAAACCACATTATTTCAAAATTGTTTAAGACCGTAAACGAATAATTTGGATGACCCAAAAAAAACTTGGGTAATATCTATTTTGAACCCGGCGCATTCGCCATTTTTGCAAAAATAATAAAAATCGTAGAAATTACCTAGAAAAGTATAACAAATGTTCTATTGAAAATGTTGTATTATTATTATTAAAACCAGTTTGTCAAAAAGATTTTTTATATTTATGGGTGATTCTACAAAAGTTGGGCAACTTTTGACCTCATTTTATTTATATAGTTTTCGGAGAAAATTAAACACTATTTTGTTACGAGAACATAGATAATATAATAAATATACTGTTCCAGACCGTGCCAGTCACTTTTTCAAACGGTTTCCGAAATATCTGTGTTTTCTAAATTTGAATGCAAGGGAAGTACTCCCAGAATTAATGTGGATGCGGAGATAAAAAAAATAATGGTTTGTGCAATGGTAGAAGAAGATTTAAACACATCAATTCCTAAAATAGACGAAGAGACCGGCATTAGTGTGGGTAAAGTTCACAAAATATTTAAAAAAAAATAAAAAATCGTTCCTATAAATACCAAGTACATCAGGAAATTTTTTAAGACCGGAGAATGGAATTTTGTGAAAATATGATGGAACGCGCAAATGAAGATGAACATTTCATTGAAAATTCCACACCTGTAATTTTTAACCAATCAAAATGTGTATTTTTGATAGATCACCATGGCAACGGTTGAATTTTAGTGGAAATTTTTTCCTCGTGGGTACCCAACAGCGAATTATACTGGAAATTTTTTGACGTTTATAATGACAGAATATTTTTTTGACAATCTGGTTTTTATTTGTTTACATGATAATTTTGATACATTTCCATTACAAAGTTTATTAGATGTTTTCTATATTCGTTGGACACCTCCTTTCTTCTTAATGGCGAAAATGCAGGACTTGAAATAAATTAAATGTCTATGTCTAATAAAATATATATAATATTAGGCACTATTCTATTCACCTTTTTTTCCATTTAGCACTTTGAGTTTTGAATAGTTAAGATGCAAATATTCGTGAACAATTCAAAACAAATTTTCTTTCTTCAAGTAGGAGCCACAATCCTCTAATAATGCGGGTAAATAAGTCATTGCACGATGATTGATCATTACAGCAGACAATTTCACATTTTTTTACGTCGTGCCGCTTGACAGCTTCAAAACTGAAATAACTTTTAGGTTGGGGTTGACTTAGTTGCCATGGTAACTAAATAATCAAGTCGAGGTCAAGTTAAATCAAAAAATAAATTTTAATTATTTAAACAAAATTTGGTGTGGAATTTTCTTACCGAATACCACACGAGGTCAAATTAAATCCGGAAATTTTTTCTACCTCATGAATATTTTTAGAAAATTATCCCTCGTCTTCGACTCGGGATAATTTTCAAAATATTCATGAGCTCGAAAAAATTTCCGGAAATAATTTGACCTCTAGTGGTATTACTAGTGAAAACATATTATTTACCGACGAATCCACATTTCCATTACATGGAAAGCACAATCCTGCTATTGTCCGGTACTGGTCTATTGAAAATGAGTACTAAACTTAAAGACTCAGTATCCTGAAAAGTTGAACGTGTGGTCTGGTATTTATGGGAATAATATTATTGGTCCCTTTGTAATTGGTGGAAATTTAAATGGTGCGAGATATTTGGAACTTCTTCTTCAAAATAAAATTATTCCTGCAATCCAAAACATAACCCCAAATTTGAATAACGCTTGGTATCAACAGGACGGTTGCCCATCATATAACACAAGAATAGTGATGGAGTATTTACAAGAGATTTTTCCCCAAAGGGTAATTTCTACCAGGGGCGCTATTCGCTGGCCAGCAAGGTCGCCAGACTTGGCTCCTGACGATTTTTTCCTATGGGGATATGTAAAATCTACCTTGTACCGTCATGAAAAAATGAATAATTTGGGCGAATTAGAGGCAAAAATGCATACAGCGTTTGAGACAATTACTCCAGATATGCTGTCTAATGTTCGCACCGAATTTTATGACAGACTGGGCTTTTGTTTGACGCAATTATTTAATTTATTTATTTACATTTATTTTAAGAAGTTTGATTTTTAGTTTTGTTTTAAGAGTATTAATTTATTTATTTTAATTTGTTTTCAAGAGAAATATTTAATTTTTTATTTTAGTTTTTAAAGAGAATTTTTTATGTTTAAAACGTTTTTTTATAAGAAAACACTTTTAGTTAAATCCAAAACAAAAATGATTTTACACCTTTAATTAATAATATAAGTATATAATCCGGTCCTTGGTAATCCCTTTTAACAGTACTGTTAAAAGGGATTACCAAGGACCGGATTTTACGCAAAATGCCTTTTCGTTTCTATTTCAGGCATTTGTTTGGGACCCTGATATTAATCCTAAACTTAAAAAAATAAAGCGTTTGACACCCCTTTGTTTTTGCCTAAAAGCCTAAAATGGCGAAATTTTGATTTAGGGTCCTAAAAGGAAATTTTTATGAGCCTAAAATAGGCTCTTTTAATTTTTTTAAAATTAAATTATTTTTAATTAGGCCCTGCCTTCTTGCTCTTATTTCGCCTAGACAGCCTTGGCGAGTACGAGGACCACAAATTACAAAACTAGTGAAAATCTAATGAAAAACGTAATTGTGATTTTGTTATATCTATAAATATCTATTATAAATAAATATGGATAATATTAAGTTTGTAAAATATTGGTTAAACATTATTATTTACTTTGTTTTCATAGGTTTTATTGTAATTTCCATATATGTATTACGTTGTCTTAACCTGTTCTGTTTGTTTATTATTGTTTTTGTGTTGCGTTAATTTGTTTTGTTTGTGTTTTAGTTTGTGTCGTGCCATTTGAATTTATTAAAATGCGGTGTAGCATATTTGGATGCAAGAAAAACCCTTTAAATAAAAACACGGGCTGGATGCTCCCGTGGACGAGTTTTGGTTCGTGCCGCGCATGACGTCACTTGATGAATAGTTGCCGTGCGAATACACGAATAATAGTAATATTATTAAAGAAAATAGAGAAATATCTGGACATAGTGCGATTTATTAAACTTAAAATTAAGGTGTATGTAGCAATTGTACCTTTTCATAACAACAAACGGTCATGCGCGGTACAAACGGTCATTAATTATATTTGGACACGTCCTCAAGATCACATTGTAGTATTTACTTCCTTTCTCACTGAAACTCTTTGTTTAAAAAAATTGTTATTTGTGCCTTTTGGAGACAACATTTGTTTTACTTTTTTAAAGATTATAATAATTATTAGTCAAAATAACAGGCCCACCCTAGGCCCCTCCGGGTCAGATGGCTAGTTACGCCAATGTTGAGTCCTATTTTTGGCACTTTGGGCCTAAAACGGCCTAAAATGTAGGTTTTTATTGCCTATTTATGTGTCCTAATTTTCAATTTTTAACGGCATAAAATCCTATTTTAGGCGGTTGAGGCCTATTTTTGGCACTTTAGGCCTAAAACAGACTAAAATGTAGGTTTTTATTGCCTATATAAGTCTCCTAATTTCCAACGGCCTAAAATCCGGTCTTTGGTGATTACGTTACATTTTAAGTATCTGAATCATATTTAAAAGTAAATTAACTCAATAATGCGTAATTCATATTATTAAATCAGAACAAACTCCAATCGCCGGTGAAGGTTGTACTGCTGAATTACGAATACCATCTCTCCGTCCGAGTCTCGGCGTCTCCCACTCTTAAAAATTAATCTCTCACTCTTAAAAACCGAATAGAGGAAAAATGAAAATACGGTATGAGTATACTCTGTGATTGGCGCGATAAAATCAATGAAAATAACGAATCGGAAAATTGAATTGATAAACTTACGGAAAGTGAGTCGGGTTTCCCTTTGATGGCGTCTTCGACCCCGTCCAACGTGCTCCTGCGTCGCCTGTACCGACTGAAACTCTCCTCCCTAATTATCAGGGTGCCTGCACTGCTGGTCCTCGTCGTATACTTGTTGTTGTGTTTCACGCGGTTCACCTGAACGTTGCGGGCGTCATTGCCGAACAGCACATGCTCGGCGGTCATTTTCACCGCCGTCGATTTATCATTTTTACTGTGGGGCGCGAGGAAGTTCCTGTAGCCGTCACTTTCAGCCCGCTTCAGGCTCTCCGCGTTGCCGCCGCCGCTGCATTTTAATTTCCTGCGGAAAAGATCGTCGCTCCTCGCTCTTTTGTGTTGGCGTCTGATCTCGGCCCTGGCGCGGACCACCTCGCTGTGCGACGGTGCTTTTTGCAGCGGCTTGCTTTTTGTTCGCTCGCATGACGACGACGACGACGAATTATCTGCAAGAAAACACTTTGTTAAGAGGCGAGTGCACCAGTAGAACAAGGTATTGGTCCTATATGGGGCGCGTCTATGCCCAATATTTTATCTGGGGTCGATGTTAGCCCCATATTGGCATAAAATGATAATTTAATATATCATTGTCAATGTTTATCCAAGGTTAGTCCTATATTGGCATATTATTTTACGCCAATATATCATTAACTATAGTCAACGATGCTTTAGGATTTCTAAAAGTGATATTTAACGACACACGTTTGTTGGAACAAAGCTGATCGGATATAAACCTAATAATTTATTTTAAATATGAATATTATTTTCTTGCTATCTCTTTATTAATGCTGGTGATATTATAGTACCTTTGATAAATAAGAAATTAAATTAAGGGTTCAGAATCGATTAATTGAATGAAAAAATAACAAAATTTAAGACAACTTACAATTACAAATGTGTAGAAGAAAACTCTACAACTGCTTTTAACAAAAAATCACCGTATCTAAGGTCGTTAACATTGTTTAATTTATATCTGCTCCATGATTTTAAAAACTCTCGATGAAGAGATTCTCCCGCCTGTTCTGACCATAATCCAAGACCCCGATGGTTAAGATAGCTTGGGCATTCTTCAAGATGATTAAGAGCGATTCTTCAAGATGATTAAGAGCGATTTGGATTTTTAAAGTTTGCGAAATTCCAGTGGCTTTAAAGGTTTTTCTTAAATGGACAATGTTCTTCTTGAGTTCCTGACCAACGCGACTAGAAAAACAATCTTCAACAACTTTGTTCATTGTCTTTAATGCTGATATTATTGGAACAATTTTTTCACGAATGACCTTAATATCGAGAATACAATCAAAAAATTTAAAAAAGACAAATATGCCATAGTAAAGTTAACAAATTTTACTATAACAACTGCGCATTACTTTATGTTAGCGCAATTCACACACAACTATAGATTTAACAAAAACATTTAAGTTCGACAAAGATTTAATATAAACATAAAGTATTTCTTATTGCCATGACAATATGATAACAACTATTACTTTGTTGGATGAACTTTTTTTTTTATATATTATAGTAAATAAGAATTTTTTTAACAGTAAAAAAAGTTTATTCTGTAAATAAAAATAATCTCTTTATTTTGACAAATCGTAGGTTTTTGTCCCAATAAGACACTGAAAATTTAATATAAAAGGTAACTTAGGTGGTACAATTTTTTATAGCCATTACAATTTTAAATTTAAGTTCAATAATATTATTTTATTAATCGATCACAAAATTAGTTTCATTATCAGTGCATGTACATTTTTCTGAGTGTGTCAAAAAAAGTTGCAAGATTTTGTTTAAATTTAGCTTTATTTAAAAATGACAAAATCAACAATGCAAATTGTTAATTTGGCGTTTTTATTAATTGTGATTTTGTCATTTTTGTAATGACGGTAAATTCAAACAAAATCTGGCAATTTTTATGACAGAATGTAGTAAGTTACCATTAATTAGTGAATTTCTTTCAAATTTTAGGTTATGTGCTCAAATTGTAAATATAACTAATAAGTTTAACCTGTGAACTAATTTCATGAGTAAACAGCTGTCTTAATGGCGTTTTAGTCACGGGCTGAAGTTAGTAGTAGTGGTTTTTAAGCTTTCTAGTCACGGGCTGAAGTTAGCTTTAGCATATATTGGGAATAACCGGAATTTAGGTAGTTTAACAAATAAATTCTGTTTTGTGTTCTACACTTTAATGAATATTTTCATTTAAATGCAATTTTTTTTTACATAAAAACAATACTTTGTTTTATTTTTAAAAAACATTATTTACATATATAAAAAATATAAAAAATATACCCTCAAAGCTCAAACCTCCAAGTTATTATTTTAAAACGTATAAAGATAAATGCAGAAGAATAAAATTGCCCGTATCTTTTTAACAATGCGTCATCAAATTTTATCATATATAATGTAGGTACAGCAGTTGGCAATTTAAAAAGTGAAAAAAATCCTGGGCGTAGGTTTACATCAATATTTTACTTCCACGTAAGAAAAAAGTATTATCAGCAATTTTCCTTTTTAAATTAAATTTATCGTCCAACGACAAGTATCTCTTCACCCAAATTTCCTGCAGCAGCAATGCATAAATAATACAAATCTGCAGTAAAAGTTCAAAGAAGGTATTTCGGACGAAAATTAGGTTTTTACATCCATCGATTCTCAAAATATTGTATTTAAATAGATTTTCGTTATATACGTTTTTTACTAATTTAATATTACTCAATAAATGTATGAGAGATAAAAATGTACATGTCTACTCAGAGAACATCATGTGGACTTTTTTATCTTGTAAAAGTATATATACTTTTACAAGATAAAAAAGTATATATATTTGACTTTGTAGTTAGTTAATTTTAATTTGTAAAATTTTAACAAATTATTTTAACAAAGGAATATATTTTGTCGAAAGTTTTGTAAGCATTTTGTTAATTTCGAAGGTTACAGATTATTTTGTTAATATTTCGTTAAAAAAGTACACGTGATTTCAGGCAGTTAATCAAAACATTTCCCACTGACAATACGCATCAACAAGTTTAACTGACTTCTGCAACTTATGTTTCTACTCACTTTATTCTAATTCGTATCGTGTTCGTAACAACTGTTCAGAGTGTTTAAAATATATTACCAAAAATCTGTTATTATTGTTATTCGGATTCCTTATACCTATACGAGTGTACGAAGTGCGAAGTATCCGAAAAAAGATGCCGTCACTGGTTTTTAAACCAAAATTAGGGGGTACAGTGAAGTGGGTTAAAGTTACGAAATACATCAGTAAGTGTTGTAGTAGTACTGATAATTATATTGCACCAAATTTCTTTATACTTTTCAGAATGTTCATTTATGTAGGTATGAGTTAATTTTTTTGTTTAGGAAATTGATTAATAAAGCAACATTTCTTATCAAAATTCTTTTCATTTAAGTTCCCAATATCCAACAAATACTTTTGCTACTGGGTATACAAAAAGTTTTGTAAGAATAAGGTCCTTTTTGAAAATTACAAGAATTATGGTTGAATTACCCAAGCAACAAAATAAGTCGAATAGTGTCTATACTAGCACCAAATTGCCCTAAAAGGGTTGAAATTTACAAAAATTTAACCAAACTTTTGTGTTTGAGGTCGACATTTATTTGTGGGCGAAAAATAGGTAAAGAACTAGTTCTTTTTGGCTTGCACATATTCCCTCAAAGCCCTCGGACTTCAAATTTTTGTTTCCTGGTCCAATTATGGATACGTTGCCCATTACTAGTTACCAACATTTTCCCTGCCTTTATAGTAAAAATAATTGGTCCCAGTTACCTAATGTACCCCTCTTCATCTACCTATATGTATTTATATCCTTAATGGTAAATCACAGGGGATAACCGTTAGTCAGACTGTTCTATTAATTTACCAATTTTCAACCAACTATTCGTACAAAATTCGTAAGGACAAATTTAGTAATTCCAACCCTAATTGCCTGAAGTTTTGGTTAAGGCATGTTTTGGTCAGGAGTCGGGCCAAGTTTTACCTATTTATATTTAAGTGATGTACCTTAAGGTCTAACTTACTACAATATTGGTCTTGTAAGTCGATGCGGTTATATAGAGGTCGAATTTACCACCTCATTTAGACTAACAGGTCCTTTGGACTTATTTAGAATTTAAAGTTAGTTCTGTTTTTGTTGTGAGCTCTGGAACTAGCAAGATATCGCGAAAGTGTTTTAAGCCGTACAGGCTGACCACTAGCTATTATCGCAAGTTGAAAAAATGTTTAATATTACGAAAAGGAAATGTTAATAATCCAGTGTTTCAACCGGTCCACTTACTATCAAGAAATCAGTTTGTACGGAAAATATTTTTTGTGAAAACACATCGGAAAACACTTTTAACGAAGGGCAAATTGATTTAATCCCTTGCGAAGATAATTTTAGCAAAAGGGAAGAAGAACTGTTAGGCAAATTGCTTTCTCTAATAGAAGAATTAGCTAATTGGGCGTTGTCTCATAAAATAAACCTAGATGCCACAACGCATTTGTTCTTAGAGGTTGTGGTCTTGATTTGCCTAAAGACGGCAGAACGGCCATTTCAAGCGCGCGAAACGCACGAATTACAAAACTGTTTTTATAAAAAAATTGTAGATTATTTATTATAGAATATTTTGGCATCAAAATTGTCAAAAATATTCTTCTTTTATTAGGTTATACATTAAATAAAAAAAACGCAAGAAATATTTTATAAAAGTAGATATAATTTTAATAATTGAAAGTATGGACGGGACAAAAAAAAGATTTATCTTGTCCCGCGTCCACCCCTGTCAATTATTGAAATTATCTCTACTTTTATAAAATATTTCTTGCGATTTTTTTTATTTAATGTATAGCCTAATAATAGAAGAATATATTTGACAATTTTGAGAGAAAGGAGTGGTTGTAAACACCGTAATAGGTTTATATTCACCTTAACGTAGCATTGTATTTTGCCGACCTCATATGGGTTTATAGTAAACACATCTTAAAGTATATCATATTTATTTGTTAATAAAAGTTAGTTCGGTAACAGTTAAAACATTAGTTAGTTAGCTATTAATAAAAAAAACGCTATGTTAGAAAAGTATTCTTATAGTAATTGGTCTTCACTTAATAGTTAATCCATAGGCGCTTTATATTAGAAAAGCCTATTTATAGTAAATGAACTTAAGGTAATACTTCATCCACAAGAGCTTTGTATTAAAAAGGCAATAGGTGTTTATTATAATGCGAGAAATAATAATAAATATTTTAATTAATTGCAATTATCAATTCATATTTTAACTATTAGAAATGTATGATTATTAGTATAGCATGTATTTATAACAGTGCGATTGTATAAGGTAATAAATAAAAGTGTGTATTTATAAGAAAATTTATTTTTGAAAAAAGTTTAAAAATATTTAAGGTGTAACAGAACAAAAAAAAGAAAGTGGCGTCTGGGGGGTTTTGGGTATACCGATACTTAGTTATAAGACATGGGACCCACACCAACTAAGATATCGGTATAGCCAAAATCCACCAGCCGCCATTGAAAAATGAATACATTTAGAGTAAGCTTATACCTATGAGTACCTACATAAAAATAATAATAATTAAAGTAATATTTTTAAAAAAAAGAATGTAGTGATATTTTGTTGCCGGAAGCTCATTAAAGATGAGTGGTAACTTCTGATTTCAAATCAGTGATTTGTAGTTAGAACTATAATAGTTCTAAAAGAATTTAATTTTTATTTTTTTAATGCTTTATATTTCCTGTTTTATTTCTATTTACCGGGCTCCCTATATATCCGTAGGTATATACCGAGCCCGGTATATAAAAATAAAAAAATCCTTTTAGAACTGACTAAAAATCCGAAGTTACCACTCATGTATAAAGAGCTTCCGGTAACAAAATATGATTTCATTATTCTTCATAAAAATATTACTTTTAGTATTTTTTTACCAAGAAAACATAACTGCCGTTTCTGTGCAATGCCACTGGAGTGATATTCTTTACAGTAGTACACTTAGTTAAGAGTTCCTGACAATCTGCCTTGGAATTTTCCATAATTTGCACACAAAAAAACGTTTCACTTAATGGTGCAACTATTACTATTCTATGATGGGAATCGACTAAATCTCTTAAGAGTCTTAACTGAACTAATCGAAACTCGCATAGCCTATGCGGCATATTTTTTATCCCCACTCCAGTGGTTTATTGGGTATAAATGAATCTTATTAGTAAATAGTAATAAGTTATTACATATAACACCATGCTATAGCAATAAATAATATATAATAATAAGTATTAAGAAATCTGTTTGGATAATAATAATAAAAACGTCTACGAGTCATCTCTTCGTAGATTTATTATTACCCGATAAGTTAACTATTACCTCAAAGTGTAATATTCTGTAGTTATTGTAAGATTACTGATATTAAACCAGTGTAATACATTTAAACCATGACAGCTAACTATTATTCATATAACTTCTTAAATAACCGCAAAATTATTACCTAATACTCTTTTTTTGTTAATAACCAAGACATCAACCAGCAAAACACCTTCGTGTGTTTAAAATCTATTCTATATTATTTATTAAAAAATTAGAGATATCTTATCTTGAGGCAATAATTAAGTTCTAGGAATTCATCATGTTTTACCAATTAAACAAAAAGTTTATTTATTATATTTCAAAATTTAAAAATTATAACTTTATGGTACTTAAAAAGAAATGTGTTCGTAACTTATATTTTGTAATAATAAATGAGTCTTTTCTCTCTGTGTATTTATTATAGAATATTTTGGCATCAAAATTGTCAAAAATATTCTTCTTTTATTAGGTTATACATTAAATAAAAAAAACGCAAGAAATATTTTATAAAAGTAGATATAATTTTAATAATTGAAAGTATGGACGGGACAAAAAAAAGATTTATCTTGTCCCGCGTCCACCCCTGTCAATTATTGAAATTATCTCTACTTTTATAAAATATTTCTTGCGATTTTTTTTATTTAATGTATAGCCTAATAATAGAAGAATATATTTGACAATTTTGATGCAAAAATAATATATAATAAATTACCTACAATTTTTTTTATAAAAACAGTTTTGTGATTTGTCCCGTCCATCCGCTTGAAATGGCCGAGAACCCTACTAAAAACACTATCATCTTCCCACTTATGTGGAATAAAACTGTATTCCACAGTACACTTTTTCATTCTTTTATTTATTATAGCAACTATTTTAAAATAGTCTCCCATTGTTAACTATACACACGAGCAACTAGGCGTGCTACAGCTGTTGACAGTTTTATTATACGCATGCGCAATTATGATAATGGCCTACAAAGTCGAAATCTGGGCACTAATTTACTTTATGGTTGAAAATAGGGCATTTATGGTTAAAAATAGGGCATTATTGTGCAATTGCTAATAGACCTCACAATATTTATTCCCTTTTTAAGACATATCGACTACATAGGCAGTAATTTAGGTTATTTTAACTGAACATTAGGGAAATTTATTTTACAGGTCCAAATTATAGGGAAATTATGTTTTTAAGTTCAATACGTCGAAATCGCCATCTTTTCTGATAACCAAAACAGTTTACACCAAAGTATTAAAGGAAAAAATAATTTTATCTAACCACTGTTTAAGATTTTTTTTCTAAAATTGGGCTTTATACAACTCAAAAAAAACTAACGAACTGAAAAACCACCTTTTCAGCGCTCCATAAAATAAAATAAGGAAAATTCCAAATTGACAAAAATTTAAAAAAAATGTTTTTCTTAAGTATTTTCAAGGGCGCTTCTGTTATTTAGCGCTACAGTAAGGATATTTGACAACAAAATTCAACTCGCCCAGTAATTTAGCCCTTATAAGGTAACTCAAAATACCCATTTTAAAAATGGACTTTAAAGATATATTTATGGTCCTAATAGTGTTTGTTAACTTGTACCTATATTTTTAGCATTATTTTTACAGAGATAAAATAGCGGAGAGTGGGATCGAACTAAAAGGACTTACAGGTTGATAATTGGTTATAGATTACCACTATTTTACGTCACAGCAACTTAAAATTGGGCAGCTTTGCAATAACAGTCTTGGTCACAATGCCTTCTTCTACTTCCAAAATACCTTAAATTTACTAACTTTTTATTCCCCACTTACGAAAATATTACGTAACTGTAACGTAAATTTGCCTTTAACAGGGATGGTATTAAATGGTCGATTGCCTTACAGGGGGTCGAAAATAGGTTATTTCGACCAAAATTGTTGCTTGGGTATTGATATAGGATTTTGTTATTAAATCTACAAAATGTTTGTTATAATTACAAACTACTTATTCAATTAGTTGCACTCAGAAAAATGTACATGCACTGATACTGAAACTAATTTTGTAAGCGATTAATAAAATAATATTATTTATAATGTAATAAATAATTTGTTTTAATGCCTTGCAATTATTTAAAAAAAAACTACCCAACACCTAACAGTAGGTTGAAAATGTGACCATTGTTACAATGAAAATAGTTTATTGAATTATCAATTAATTTGTTGTTAAAATTTACATAAATTTTATTAATATTATAAAAAAAGTTTGGGATTTGTAAAATTTACAAAATTTCTATGAATAATACCATTAGGGTTTTATTAGTACTACAAAACGTTTTTGTAAACGGTATAGAACTGTTTTTTTGACAAATAATAATAACTATATAATATATGATATTGATAAATTTTATATAATATATGATATTGATAAATTTTATATGATATTGATAAATTTTATCAATGCGTTTCTGCATCTGAAAGAGTGTTATTTTTATAAACATAACGTAAATTTACTTTATAATTAATGCAAATGCTATTACTGAAAGCAGCGTTTGTAGATAAATAATTTTTATAAAAATGGTCTTTTTGCCGTAACAAAAGCAATTGTTGGACGAATAGGGATCTTTACTTTATTAAGACAAACTACGTTTTTTGTTATATACCTATATTAAAAAATTAAATTAAAACGATTAACACAATTTGCCGTGCATTCCCGGTTGCATAGTGTGTACCGATCGGGGCAAAGGCGGTGTGGATCACGTGATGTTCTTTAATCTCGCCTCTGTTGACTTACATAAAGAGTATATAAGCTCAGGTAGTCCTTTGCTTTGGTGTGACACTACAAGTTATTCGATACTAAAGAAACAACTGTCAATACTTGAAGTATTTTAAGTTGGTGGAACGCACTAAAAACATTATCTCTAGCAAGTTGAAGGTTCAATTTTCTGGAATAATACCACTGGTAATATACTAGTAATGCGTCAAGGAACTTCCTGTTTCCTTTTTTTCCTTTTTTTATGTGTAGTATGATTTAATTTGACAAAAACACATAATATTTAACACTGAAAAGGAGTTCAATTTACACCAGGTAAATTTTATTTTAATACAGTGTGAAAGTTAAATTTACACTATTTTAGTATTTGAATTTACACCGGACCAACGAACCATATTTAACACCATTTTGGTTTGTATCGAAATAAACCATTTATGATGTTAATTTGGTGTTAAAATGGTCATGAAATTTTGAACAGTGTATTAACAAATGTTTTTTACTGTGAACCACTATCCACATTAAAGTATTGATTTTTATTTTTTTTACAAATAAACAACACGTAATTACCTTTAGCGGCGAGAATATCGCTTCTGGACTTTCTGATACGAAAAGTTTTCCGTTTGCTGTGGTCCCCTTTAATTGCATTTCTGTCATAAGGGCGCTCTTTTCTGTTATCGGCTTCATTAGCTGTAGTCTTGCACGTGTTCTCCTTTAGCATCGCTCCGGAACTTTTAATCACATTGTTACTTGATCCACTTTTACTTTTTATACGTTCTTCGAAATTTCGATTCTTGTTCGCTGCATCACGATGGTCAACCAAAACGCCTCTGAAAAATAGTTTTATCATCTACAATTTAAACGTTATTGTTGTTAACACTCGTTACTAAATGATTATAGCCTAAGCACTTTGAAATGATTTAGACCAATCCGGTAAAGTTTTTTACCTCCTAGTCTGTTAAAAACTCGTTTGGGCCAATGAAAAATTTGATTCAAGAATTGTCAAAAATTAATGTCTTACTCGACAAATTTTGTTCGCAAAGTCTCAATTGCACATCTAAATCGCGCACGTTATATGAGTTTCGCGTTGCAAGTAAAAACTAAAAAACTTTGGTTTAGTACTCGATTTCGATTTATTATTCCTTATATTATTGATGAAGGAACTCAACGCTTATATGCTTATATAGTTACGTTAGTGTGTGTATTATAAAAAAACGTCGACATTTGCATTTTCAAATAGTAAACGACATAAAAACAACTGTACCTTTAACATTTCCCGTTTAAGAATTTTTAATATTTTGTATTTTGCAATTATACAAATAAAAAAAATCAAAGAATAAAATATTTTCTTAACATTATCATATTTTGAAGTTATTTTAATATTTCAAAGTATCAATAATTGTTAAGTTTAATTAAAATACTAACGGGCAATGTTAATGGTGAAAATTACGTCAAAAATGTTTATTGGGATGGTTACTTTATTTTCGTCCCAGATAGCACACAAAGTCTTGAAGATGTCTTTTGTATGTCTGTATTATGCCTGAACGTCTGAAGATCTAAAAAAGACGTCTGAAAGACGTCTTAAAGATATCTTCAATTAATGTACTAAAGACATCTGATAAATGACTGATACCGCTGTTCATTTTTTTTTTAATTTTTTGATAAAATAGTGAATTTTGACCAGTCAAAATCTAAATTGTATCCCATAATCAGCGACTTCATAGTAACGTACCATTTTATTTTGGTGTAATAGAAAGAACATTAATGTAGGATGTTGAGTTTTGTCGATGATGGGTGGGGTAATTGAATAAATATACATATATCTAATATTCTTGTAGATTGGTTATTTTTCCTACAATTAATAATTTGTGATAAAAACATTATATACAAACATGTTTTTTAAAAATTAAGTATTATACATTTTAATTACCTACTTAATACCTTAAAAACGTTTTGGCGATGCACAGTGTTTCAATTCTCGAAATTTTCGGCAAAATATCAAGGAGTAGTCGGATTCTCCTGAAAATCCGTATAAAGAGGTTTTTGGGGTCGCTGATAACGAATCAGGAATCAGAATTCTAAAATTCAAAATGGTAGATCCAAAATGGCGGACATATTTGTCAAAAAATTGACAGAATAAATTGAAAATCACCATACAGGGGTTTTGGGGTCGCTGATAACGAACCTGGAATCAGAATTTCAAAATTCAAAATGGTAGATCCAAAATGGCGGACATATTTGTCAAAAAATGGACGGAAAAAATTCAAAATCACCATACAGGGGTTTTTGTGGTCGCTGATAATGAGTCTGGAATTAAAATTCCAAAATTCCAAAATTCAAAATGGTGGACCTCAAATGGCGGACATATTTGTCAAAAAATTGACGGAATAAATTGAAAATCACCATACAGGGGTTTTTGGGGTCGATGATAACGAATCTGAAATCAGAATTCCAAAATTTAAAATGGTAGATCAAAAATGGCGGACATATTTGTCAAAAAATTGACAGAATAAATTGAAAATCACCATTCAGGGGTTTAGGGGTCGCTGATAACGAATCTGGAATCAGAATTCAAAAATTCAAAATGGTAGATCCAAAATGGCGGACATATTTGTCAAAAAATTGACGGAATAAATTCAAAATCACCATACAGGGGTTTTTGTGGTTGCTGATAATGAATCTGGAATCAGAATTCCGAAATTCAAAATGGTGGATCTCAAATGGCGGACATTTTTATCAAAAAATTGTCAAATTAATTAAAAACTCGTAAGAGGTTCTTTTTAAAATGCAAATAAAAGATTTTTTTATAAAATAGCTTAATTTAGTTTATTATAATTACATTAAAATCAAAATCGCGAGGTTTTTTTACCACAACTGTGCCTGAGCGCCCAAGAACATGTAGTTTTAAAGAGCCGCGGCTAGCCGGGGGCAAGTTGGGGCAGATAATTTATTGATGACGTGATAGACAAAACTCTAAGCTATTTAACGGATCTTGAACTGATGCCTTGCAATTCATTACAACTTTTGTAGCTCCATTGTTCTAAAAGCTCGATTCAAAGTTTGCGATTTTAACAGACCGATCTTGTCGGTTACGATAACCCGTTGTACAAGCAAAATCTACGAAAAACAAATACATATCTGAATTTTAGATACCTTGAAGATTACCACTCATCAAACCGCATAACAATCGGACACACCAAACACAAGTTATTCACTTTTAAACTATAAACAATTTTCCGCAGCGATCGCGTGTAAAGTTCCTTCAACTGAAAGCGTCAAGTTTAAACTGATGTACAAGACAAAATATACGTATTTTATATAAATTTTTTTCAATACAGAATGGAGACAGGTATTAACTACCCATCTAACTCAAAATTTACCTGAAAAAAAATGTCATTTTTTTAGGTTTTGTCGATATTTTCGAGAATTGAAACACTGTGCGATGTAGTAATGCATAATAAGGCGTTTTCAATATCAACATCTTAAAGACGTCTCAGCGACGTTTGGCAACGACTTAATAATGCCGTTAAAAGTTTTGTAACATTAAATATCTTAAAGACGTCTTAAAGATGACTTACGTCGTAAACTTAGATGTCATAAACGTCCTAGTCCGACTTTAAGATATCTTTAAGATGTCTCTGTGCTATCTGGGGTATAGGTAGATGTCGCCTTATACAAATATTTAAAAATGGCGTCTATCAAACTTGATACGAGGTGTGTTCAGAAAATAACGGAAATTGTTAAATTACGCGGGTTTGGAGGGTCCGGTTGTCATAAAATTTTCTTTATTATATTGGTATACATGCCTCCAAAGTATGATAAAAACTTTAGGTATTTTTATTGTTTACTTTGTCTGTGGCAGCCGCTTAGGTTAGACGTGTTTTATGAGCTCGGCGATTTTTAAAAGAAATGGATCAAAGAATTTGTATCCAATTTTGTTTAAAAAATGAAATAAATTCTGTGAAATGTTAACAAAGGCCTATAGTGAGTCTGCTATAAGTAAAACAAGAGTTTACAAGTGGTATAAGAGTTTCCAAGATGGCCGTGAAGACGTTGAAGATGACAAATGCCCCGAACGCACAAGCATATTAACAACCGATAAAAACATGGAAAAAGTGGAAGAAATGGTTATAAATCATCAGAGAAGTTACTGATGATGTTGGTATATCGATTGGCTCATCCCATGAAATTTTTTCGAATGTTTTGGGTATGAAACGCGTGGCAGAAAAATTTGTTCTAAAATTGTTAAATTTTGAACAAAATTTTTGGTCAAAAACAATACTGTAATGATGCCCCAGCCTCCATATTCGCCAGACATGCCTCTGTCTGACTTTTTTATATTCCCAAAAATAAAGAGAACCTTAAAGGGCCGTCGTTTTGCAAGCATAGATGACATTAAAAGCGCATCGCTGAAAGAACTAAAGTCTATCCCAAAGATCGAGTTTTAGAAGTGTTTCGAGTATATATACCTATATATACCTATAGGAAGAAGAGCAGGCACATGTGCATAATATCCAATGGGGACTATTTTGGGCGACAACATTAATGTAGACGAATAAATAAATATTTGTTTCAAAAAACGAAAATTCCCGATATTTTCTGAACACACCTCGTACATAATATATCTACTATTATGTGGCCAATGTTTTTAAAAAGAAATTTCAAAACAAACTCTAAAATCCTTAGAAATAATATCAGGCTTTTAGTGCCGGCTTAAAGCAATCTAAGAAAACAAAAGTCATCGAAATAATTGGTAGAAACTCTCTATACCTTATTTTTGTTTTAACTGGGAGCTTGTCCGCGCTGTGCCAGCTTTGCCTTTGAGTGCATCCGTTGTCTTTAGTTTGAACAAGCAATTTTCCTTTAGCGTCGTAAAGTTGTATAATTGGCAAAGCTATGTGAGGCGACGATTTTGAAGTCGAAAGTTGCCAGTTCCAGTTTTTCGGTTTGCGAAGCTGAAGTTTTATAATGTCTTGAAGAAAGTTTTCTGTTTCCATTGTTGCCATCCTGTGTTAAATTAAAGCGTTAAATTAGACTGAGAAACTGTTTTGTGTCGGTTTATTACTGAACCAGCAAAATATCGTAATATAACAGTAAAATCAAATATAACATACACTCACAGGCAAAATAATCGATCCACACAAATTTTCGATAAATTTCAATCGCAAATAACTTTTTTATTTGTTTTCGGATTTAAACAAATATTAAAAAATATTGTAGATACATCACATTTTAAAAATTACTAAAAAATACACAACAACAATATATTGTTCTAAATTAAGTTTTAATTATTAAGTCACATCTATTTTTAACAGTTTTGTTTTTGGTTCACCTTGATATATTTAATTTGTAGAAAATATGGATTTTTTTAAAAAAACATTGCAATTTCCAATATTTTTCCTGTATGAAGAACTAAGGTTGCTATGGTCCATCCAAAGCCATATATGGAGGATGACAGTGACAGTTTTGTTGAATCATCCCATACTTGGACATGTCATATACAGCTTTCAAAAGCTATCAAATTGTTTTTTGTAAATTAATGTGTTAATTTTGAGGTGTCTTCTTACTTTTAAAAATGTCTCCGACTATTGTTGCCCTTTGTACTTTACTTCTTGTGACGTTTAAAACACTTGCCACGTAATACTGTGACCGTCCATCCTGGATTAAATTAATGGCTCTGGCAACATCATTCGGAGACATCCATTTTTTAAAGTAAGAAGACGCCTCAAAATTTAAACATTAATTTGCAAAAAACAATTTGATAGCTTTTGAAAGCCGTGTATGACATATCCAAGTATGGGATGATTCAACAAAACTGTCACTGTCATTCTCCATAGCCTATGGATGGACCATAGCAACCTTAGTTCTTCATACAGAAAAATATTGGAAATTGCAATGCTTTTTTTTAAATCCATATTTTTCACAAAAATAAATATATCGACGTGAACCAAAAACAAAACTGTTAAGAATAGATGTGACTTTATAAATAAGTGTCTTAAACTTATGGTAAAAAACATCTTTTTGTTTAAACCTGTATATTATAAACGTACGTTTATTTTTTAGTAATTTTTTAAAATGTGAGCGATTGTCCATTAATTTATCTACAATATTCTTTAATATTCATTTAAATCCGACATCAAATAATTTATAATATTTGCGATTGAAATTCATCGAAAATTTGTGTGGATCGATTATTTTGCCTTTGAGTTTAGTATATTCACTGATATAAAAATCTGATTTGTTAATTTTATTTTGTAAAATTTTAACATAATTTTTTGTAGAAAACCAGGGATTTTATTTAAGATTACAGATTATTTTGTTAATGTTTAACAAATTAATTCTTTGAAAAAGTACACGCGATTTCAGGCAGTCCACCAAGACATTTTCAACTGACTTTAGCGCTGCAACTTATGTTTCTGCTTACTTTATTTTAATTCGTTACGTGTTCGTAACAACTGTCAAGAGTGTTTATAATATATTACCAGAAATCTGTTATTATTGTTATTCCTATTTAACGAGCCATCACTGTTTTTCAAATTGAAATTAGGGGATATAGTGAAGTGAGTTAAAGTTACAAAACACACCCAAAACACCGAAAAATTACCAAATTTGGGGAATGGTTTATTTCGTTATTTTACCTACATAATAACTAAATATGGGATATTTATGTACTAAAAACTGAAAAATAGGTAACTAAAAAGGTACTAAAAAAGCATTTTAAGTTAAAAAAAACAGCATTTTAGGTTAAAAAAACATTAAAAATTCAAGTAACATAAAATATTTTTTTATAAACTGACCAATAGTTAATTAAAGCTATAAGAAACTGAAAATATAACAGGGAATACCTGATATTTACCAAATTTACTACTAGAGTAACAAACGATAAAGTAACATATAACTTAAAGCAAGAAGGAACTAAAAAATATGGAATACCTAATATTTACCCACTATGTAACTTTACTACTTGAGTAACAAATAAGAATCTTTTCTATATTTTTAGACGTAAGATTATGCCTTTTGTCACTTAATAAACTGACAAATTAAAAAATATGTAACAAAAGTATAAAAAGGTAGTTTAAAGCAAAAACGTCCAAAAAAGGTAGTTTAAAGCAAAAACATCCAAAAAAGGTAAAAAAGGTGAAAACAAGTTAGGTTCATATAAAAGAAAATCTTTTAAAACACATTTTGGAATTATTGGTTTTCAAATAGTTACATCGGTTGAAAAAAGGTAAAATAACTAAAATTCCATCCCTAATAATAACCTTTTTGATTTACTAAGAATATAACGTAATAAAAACAATAAAAATACCACAAATTTACGTAAAAATAACGCTATAATTACTGTTTGCTCTATCTTTCTAAAACTTTGACATTCGTAATTTCTTTGTTCTTTTAATTTATATTTTACAAAATGTTACTACTAAACCACCCTAGAGTAAAATAAAAAAATATAACTTAAATTGTCAAAACTATTAATATTTTGCATTAAAACTCAAACGCACATTATTTTATTGATAAAAATAGTTACAATACATCTAAATATTTTACGGTTTTAAGAAAAATTATTGCTTGGGTAAAAATTTAACAAAACTTAAAACCTACAAAATTTTATAAAATCTTTTAAAACTCATTTATTTTTAATTATTTTTTAATAGGTAACTAAAACCTTCCTTATTATATTTTAGAAAAATATTTATAAAAAATATTATATAAATGTTTAGATAAGTAATGGATGTCATCTTAAAAAACTCATTATGGCGACCTGAAAAAAAATATTATGAGGGACGTAATTTTTACGAAAAAAAATTACTTATAAGTGTATTTCACCTAAAGGAAAATTTAACGGTAATTTTAACGTCAGAATTTGTACTCAATGGTAAATGTCATAATTTTACGATATTAAGACCACTTTATAACCGTAAATAATTCCTATTCGCCTGGTATTTTTTAGGGTTATTAGTGGTAATAAATACTATTAATATTGACTAAACAAGGAAAAATAAGCTTAAAGTGAAAAATAAAATTTTTTTTCGCTTTAAAGTTTAAAGCGTTAAAACTTAAGGGTTATTAAAATAGGTAAAAATAACACAAATAAAACTTTTAAAAGTTTTACTTCAAAGTAAATTTTTAAGGTTAATTTAACAAAATATTTACTTAAATTAAGTAATATTGCCTCAAAGCTCTCCGCTTTTACTTAAAATGCTGCTTGGGACATCAGTAAGTCTTGTATACAAGTATAGTGGTACTGATAATTATATTGTACCAAATTTTTTTATAATTTGATGATTTCAGAATGGTGTGTTATTTAATTGTGTGTATGTTATTTTTGTGTTCATTTATGTTTTTATTTAAGTTCCCAATTTTCAACAATTACTTTTGCTACTGATTTACAAAAGGTTTGTAAAAATAACGTCCCTTTTGAAAATTAACAAATATTTTTTTAATGTGTTGTCTTCTTTGGCCCACTGCACTTTTAAGAATATCGTTATTCATTTTTAAATAAAAACATTTAATTTTTTTGTTACCTAATTACAAAAAAAGACTAAAAGCAGTGCTCACTAATTCGTTGTGAGTAGTTTAGAAAAATGTTTTTTGACTTGATTTAATTTATTTTTGAGTACATTAACCCATAACTTGCAGTGCAGAATTAAACAAATGGTTTATGTTGACATTATAAATAAAGTAAAATTGTTTACATTTCTTTTACGAGACACAACACGTCTTAAAAATACCTACTTTTTGTATACACACTGATACCGTTTTTTTAATTTTTAATTTTACATATATATAATGAAAAAGTTTTCCTATTACAAAAACGAGTTATTTAGATAATTACATTTTTAACTCTTTGTCTCTAGGAGATCATATTATGATCTCCTAGAGACAAAGAGTTAAAAATGTAATTATCTAAATAACTCGTTTTTGTAATAGGAAAACTTTTTCATTATAACTTAAAATATTATGTTTCCAAGTCTTAATACTGCCAAATTAATATTACATTATTAATAATAATAATAATATATAATAATAATTATTAATAATATATAATAATAATAATATATAATAATAATTATTAATAATAATAATAATAATATTACATTATATTATATTATTAATATTATTATTAAGAATGGAAACGTAATGCTCCTTCCCTGATAGCACACTTTATTCTAAGAATGTTTTTTTAAACCTTCCAGTGAGAATATTATAAGGATCATGCTATATTTCTTCTAAGGAACATGCTTAAAAGACATATAGCATGATCCTAAGAATATTCTTACTGGCCTATAGGCAGGTTCTTAGAAGGTGCAAAGTTTTAGTGGTAAAAATTAGTCTACTCTAAACATATGCTTAGAATGTTAAGAAAGTAATTGCTATAGAAAGTTCATTTAGGAATATTCCTGTTAAGCATATTTAGTTCAGTTACCTATATAATAGTAAAATATACCATAAACTACGTATAAAGTTCCTTATTAATTAATAATTAGTATTAAATACTAAGAAAAAAACACAATCCAAAATATTTTTTTATAGTTATTTTTCAAATTAAAACAATATTCGATAACAAAAATACTTTTATTATAGGTATTTTATTTTATGTTAAAAAGAAATATTTATTAATTAGTATACCGATTTTTTATTTCTGAATTATCATTTTTATGTATAATAATCCTAACTATCTTCAACTTTAATCTAATCTGACTTATCCCACAAAATTTTCCAATTTTACTTTTTATGAAATAATGTCATACAACTTATGGTTTAGAGGTCAAATTGTTTATTTAATATTTTTAAATAAATATATATTAATATGTCGCAAAATTTTTTAAGGGGACGACAAATACATTTCACTGTCATATGACAGTGAGGCGTATTTGTCGTCTCCTGAAGAATTTTACGAATGTAGAATACAACATATTAGAACGTGGGTATCTGACATATTTGGAAATATTCTCAAAAGCTTCCTAGAAGCTCCATAAGAACATTCCAAAAACGTATTCTTAAAATGTTCTTAGGATGCTTTTTAGGAAGGTTTTAAGAAGCTTTTAAGAATCTGATTGCATCATCATCAAAGGGTATCTATTGAATGTTTTAAAAGTCTCTAAGAACATTCTTAGCAATAAGGGAAGGTTCTAAAAATATTCCATTATTCCGGGTCATATCTTCTTAGAAGATTCTTAAACTCAAATTTTGCTATCAGGGATGTTGTATATTGTAAGTAAAGCATGCCATGTAAAAGAGACTTTGATAGGTTAAAGTTACCAATGAAAACAGAAAATATTTTTTAATAATATTTTATCATTATATTAGTTATTTATGTCTAATTATCAAAAATATATTCAATAAACATCATTAAAATAAAAAAGCATATAGAACCCCTATTAAAATATTTTCAAAAGCCCTTGTAATTTAAACTTACTCAAATTAATTGCCCGTTAATTTTTAACGACGACACCGAAAATAATACACACTTCACATACACACACAATCACACACGCGAATTCCCCGACCCAAATTAACCCCGATTTGAATCAGTTGATAAAAATAAATTATTTTGTACTTAACATGTCGAACACTATGTACCTGCACATGATAAATAAAATATGTGGAATAGCTATTTTCAGTTACACAATCTTAACTATTATCTCCCACTCCGATATTGTCCAAAATAGATTTCAGTCGAAAACATCTCTCTGAATATTTTCGGACATAAATAACAAAACATTGCCTCGCTTTTATTAGAGTAAAGAATTAACAACAGGAGACGGGTTGCCTCCTCAAAATTTTAAAGTATTCTATTTTTAATTTTATGCATTTTTTGTAATTAAATTTCCAATCATAATTACCGGGGGCTAGCCTACTCTAGTCAGTAAATAATTCAACTAATTTTTTGTTCTATTCTTGGTCTTATTACTTGTATATGTAATTGTTTTCATTTTCTTTAAGAATATCTTTAATAGCGTCATTAATAATCCTACAAAAGGCAAACAAAGACGTTTTCATTTCCAATTGAAATCCTTTAATTCATCAAAATGATCATCTAAGTCTTCCCTTTTAATTTCATTCCAAATATACCGGAAAAGTATGGATATAAACATGACGCCTTTCCAATATCACTCACAACTAACAATGACGACTCTTCTTGACCTGTTTCGTTACCTTGTTTTTATAATTTAAACACTGAGAAATGCTTGGCTGCATTATTAATCCTATGCATCCTACCAAGGTCTAAAATTAATTTGCCAAATTTGGTTATTTATCTAGGGTCACAAAACTGGGATGACATATACAGGGTGTCATTTAACTTGAAACTTTAAAATATCTCAGTTAGTATGGATTTTACGAAAAAATGTTTAAAATAAAAATTAAAAATGATTCGAGGGGGGAAATCAATCAGTACTAAAATTGGTCCTCATACCATATAAGGGGAACGGGGGGTAACTTTAAAATTTCCAATGGAACACCCTATTTTTTATTGGATAAAAATAGGTAGATTTTGTCTAAAACATTTTTTCATATTTGTAATCCGAATTTATTCGCCTACTTGAAATTATGCGACTTTCCTTTATATGTGTCATGTTAATGTTTAAGTCATGGATTATATTTGGTATTGGTTTTTAGGGGGTCCATATATATATAGTATGTATACTACCAACATTTTCGTTCTTTATTGAAACAACCTTTAATAACAAGACTTCCACTTTTTATTTAAATACAAATAATTTGGACCCTCGTATGATTCAAAAATGGCTTGTTACTTTGCAAAAGGTATTTAAATTTTATTGGCGCAGTCGATAAGGGTATCATAATACAATATTCCGGATAAACGACATCAATTTATTTTATTTTTATCTTGACATTTGAGTAGACGAACAAGTTAAAAGGTTAAGGATAAAAATGGATTTAAACCCTTAAAGCTAAATTTATATTTAATAGGGTTTTATAAAGATTGTTGGGTATCAACTTACCAATTTAACAATGGTTTCTTGTTTCTTATTACTATAACTTTATATATACAGGGTTTTTCACATTCGTGATCCATTAGAAGTTTCTGGAAAACGAAAAAAGTTTATAATCAAATACCAAAATTGGTTGCATTGATTAAAACAAACTAAACTAGTTCAATGTATTGAGCGGTGGTCAAGTTGAGTCAAGTTGAGTTGTAAAAATTCGTAGTTAAAAATGCGATTAATTTGGCTTTGGTAGTGCGTAGATGAGTAAAATCATATAAAAAAGTAGTTAAATATAGGTGACTACGGCCTATAGGAGAGACAAAGTATTCCTAGAATGGGTATTTTGTTAAAGCCAATGGGCGTTAATACTGAAGTGGCTTAATAATAATTAAAATGTATATATTGTCCAGGACTATTAATGATCAGTAACTTGCAAATTGAAAGAAGAAAAAGTTTCGTGATTATAATATATTGCTTATCTTTTTCAAACCAAATGGATGCCATTTTTAAAGAAAATTAAGGAAAATTAACTATTAGATTTTTCACAAAAAACTTTTTTCAATTGTACCTAAAGTTGGTCGCATTGATTAAAACAAACTAGGCTAGTTATAAATCTAATTGTGGTTATGTATAAATTATTGTAGGTTACATTGTGCAGTTGTCAAGTTGAGTTGTCGAAATTCGTAGTTAAAAATGCAATTAATTTGGCTTTGGTGGTGCTTGGATGAGTAAAATCCTATAAAAAGTAGTTAAATATAGGTTGCTTTACGGCCCAGAAGAGAAAGTATTCCTAGCGGATAATAATCTTCGCTTTGAAAAGAATTTATATAAAAGAAATTAAAAATTTTTGTGAACGTAAATGTTGTCCAATGGTGAATAATGTGAAAATAATGTGTGATGTAATATTTATAAAACCAAATTCGTTAATTTTTTACTCCAAAAATTTCCATAAGGCGATGTTCTTTTTCTTCCATTGTGGCATTTGGCATAATTTCATCAAAATGAAGTTTTGCCCTCAAAAGGGCTTTTACATTCGAATTCGTTGCTATTATTTTTGGCATAATTATCTTTTTATTTATAATTGACAAGTAAATTATCAATAATAAATATTATTGTCAATTTGACAGTGCCAAAGTATTTAATTAAATTCTTTAGCAGAAGTACCATTTTTAAATACTAAAAATACTAAGTCAAACTGGCATAAGCCACCAACCTAACAAAAAAACACGAGTCCAGATAAAAAAAAAATGAACTGTAACAGCAAATGATTTTTATTTTTTGTTTTTTTTTATTTCTACCTTATTTTTTTAAATTAAAAAAAATTTTGATTTGCTTAGCTGAAAATAATGTGTGATTTATTATTTGGAAAACCAAAAACGTTACTTTTTTAATTAAAAAATGTCCATAAGGCGATGTACTTTTTCTGCCATTGAGGCATTTGGCATAACTTCATCGAAATTAAGTTTTGCCCTTAAAAGATCTTTTACTTTATAATCTGATATTATTTTTGGCCGAGTTATCTTTTTATATCGATATATATATATATAATAATTAACAAGTAAATTATTATCAATAATAAATATCACTGACAATTTGACAGTCATTTGACAGTGATTTATTATCTATGGTCAGAGTATTTATTTAAGATCTTCAGCAGAAGTACCATGTTTTAAATACTAAAAATACTAAATCAAACAGTTTGATTTTCAAACTGGCATAAGCTACCAACCAAATAAAAAAATGAACTGTAAGATTACCTGGGCTAAAACTTTAAGGGCATTTTTTCCTCTATATACTTATACATCAATATTTTGCTTGGGGAGTAAAAAAAAATAAATGTTTCTTCAAAACGATTCACCCTAATGTTTAGGTAGGTATATATACAATTTATTTATATAAATAATTTTTTCCGGAAAATTTATTTATTTTTAAATGACACTGCAAGATATTACAAGAACTGAAAGTGATGGTGTTATTTCTACTTTAACAACTACAAGAGGTCCTAAAACTCTCGAGGATCCTCGAGGATAAAAGGCATTTTTTACTTTAAGGATGAATTTATTGGTGTATTAGATAATTTGTCAGGTTTTGAGTGTAATTTTTTATCTCTTCTTAAAATAAATTGCCAATAAGTATGAAAAGTGACGAAATTGTACTAAACGATATTTTTGTGTCAACATTATGTTAATTCCGTCTTAAAATGACAAAATACAGATTTTAAAACAATATTTGTTTTGACTCGCTCATATGTTACCGTCCTAATTTTTCTTTATATCCCCGACACACTTCTAGTACTCAATCTAAAGGTTTTATTATAATTACTTTAATAAGGTTGTCACAGCTTTCATAAATCCTCCACTGACACCTCCATAAAGCTAAATTATAGTTAAGTGAGCTATATGTTGTCCTTAGATGAATAGGTCCGTAGTATATACAATATTGGTTTGGTTTAGAATATTATTAAAACTATTTCTCTCGAGTAAATACCCAAACACAACTCTAAATAAAATATGCTTGTATGTAGTTTATAATAATATTTAAAAGCATTATTTCTTCGTCCTGAGGTGATATTTTAATGCCACCACCACATTTTTAGTCAATCAAATACTTATTAAAACAAATGGGCTCCCTGATAGCAAAATTTGATTTTAAGAATCTTCTAAGAAGATATGACCCGGAATAATGGAATATTCTTAGAACCTTCCCTTATTGCTAAGAATCTTCTTAGGGACTTTTAAAACATTCAATAGATACCCTTTTAATGATGAAATTAGATTCTTAAAAGCTTCTTTAAACCTTCCTAAAAAGCATCCTAAGAACATTTTAAGAATACGTTTTTGGAATGTTCTTAGAAGGTTTCTTATGGAGCTTCTAGGAAGCTTTTGAGAATATTTCCAAATATGTCAGATACCCACGTTCTAATATGTTGTATTCTACATTCGTAAAATTCTTCAGGAGACGACAAATACGCCTCACTGTCATAATATGACAGTGAAATGTATTTGTTGTTCCCTTAAAAAAATTTGCGACATATTAATATATATTTATTTAAAAATATTAAATAAACAATTTGACCTCAAAAACCATAAGTTGTATGACATTATTTCATAAAAAGTAAAATTGGAAAATTTTGTAGGATAAGTCAGATTAGATTGAAGTTGAAGATAGTTAGGATTATAATCCTAACTATCTTCAACTTCAATCTAATCTGACTTATCCTACAAAATTTTCCAATTTTACTTTTTATGAAATAATGTCATACAACTTATGGTTTTTGAGGTCAAATTGTTTATTTAATATTTTTAAATAAATATATATTAATATGTCGCAAATTTTTTTAAGGGAACAACAAATACATTTCACTGTCATATTATTATTAATAATTATTAAACATAAAAATGTTAATTTAGAAATAAAAAATCGGTATACAAATTAATAAATAATTATTTTTAACATAAAATAAAATACCTATAGTAAAAGTATTTTTGTTATGGAATATTGTTTTAATTTGACAAATAACTATAAAAAAATATTTTCGATTGTGTTTTTTACTTAGTATTTAATACTAATTTCTAATTAGGTATATTAGGTATATACCTATACCTACTTACCTTTATACGTAGTTTATGGTATATTTTACTATTATATAGGTAGGACCTACCTGGTAGGTAACTAAACTAAATATGCTTAACAGGAATATTCCT